GTATTCAGATCGCAAGTAAATGAACACTTTGCAAGTAATGAAATCATAACAACACTTATAAGCTAACATTACGCGTCAGTATCGGAATTTGTATTGAGATTTTCGAATTTAACTAGTGCAGTTGGTAGTGCAAAATGTCGCAAAATTTAGAACACACTTTGTATATTATAATACAGTGCGATCAAAAAGTCTTTGTATCAAGTAGGCGTCCTAGTTTTGGACGTATGTTGCATGGCAGTTCGTATGTTATCTAGATGTCAAAAAAATATTTTATTAAATTTAAAACATTAAGCTAACTGAATTGAATTATTCTATGAAACGTCTGAAAACAAACTAAAATAATATTTTGTTGGCGTTTATTCATAAAAAAAACGTTCACCACGGTTTCCTGTCATACTTTACATAAAAATTATTTTGACATTTCTCATTTGTTATTGTGACATTTTATCTTCCATAGACATACGTTTTAAATTTCTACGCTTGCTTGATAGACAGACTTTTTGATCGTACTGTAGAAATATTGTTATATTATTATTATATTATTTTAATTAATATATTATTTATAAAAATATACTTATACAGTTGGTAATCATTTATCTCACAAAAACTGGTATTTTTGCATATCTTATTTAGAATTTCATAAATAGTATATTATGTCTTTAGGGGTAAAAATGTTTATTTTGGCGAACGTAGTGAGGCACATAATTCTGCAGAGCTCCGAATAGCGTTTATACACTTTGTAATAAAAATATTTTTACGATGGAAGCACTTCCTGTTACACCGGAAATGGGTATCAACTTTATCATTTTAAAAAGAAAGTTTTGTTTTTTATTGAGTTTTTGGATTACTCAAGTGATTTTGAGAGATTTTTTTCCCTGTACCTAAATTTGACCATTTCGAAATATTTAGACTTTTTTGATTTTTTTCTAATTTGCATCTTCCTCTACAAAAATCGATAACTCTACCATTTTTAATTATTTTGAAATCGTATTTGGGCATATGAAAAAGAAAGGTTCTTTCGTGTATTTATTATTGGAAAAATAATTAACGAATTTCCAAAATTTAAGGTTACGTTTGGGAAACTTCAAATACCCGTAACTGAATTTTTTCAAATGGCAGGCCCAAATTTTTTTTTTTTAATTGAAAGAAAATTTAATTCTGCATCGATCTGTATCAACATTCCCTATACCTAAATTTAATGATTTCCAAGTTATTTTAACTTTTTTTAACAATGGTAGTTTTCGCATAGTTTGCCATGAAAATAATTCTCACTGAAAAAACGCCATTTTTTCACAATTGTGTTATTCTTTTTGTAAATACAAATTAAATTTATTTAATCTAAATTTGTATAACTTTGATATTCTATTTTTTTTTATTTCTATGACAACCTGTGCTAAAGTAGCTAATGAATTTCTCACAATATCAAAAGAAGTTACTATAACTTGAAAACTATAAAACATAGGTATAGGGAATGTTAATACAGATCGAAGCAGAACTAAATTCTCCTKSATTTAGTGAAGCAAAAATTGCGGTGTTCCATTTAAGAAAATTGAGTTAAGGGTATTTGAAGTTTCCTAAACCTAACCTTACATTTTGGCGGTTTGTTAATTATTTTTCCAATTATGAACACACCAAAAGAAAGATCTAAGCTTTCTATCTCATATACCCAAATACGGTCTCAACATAATAAAAAACGGTAGAGTTATCAATTTTTGAATAAGACGATTCAAATCCAAATTTTTTTTAAAAAGTCAAATATTTCGAAAACGGTTAAACTTAGGTATAGGGAAGGCTAATAAAAACTCTCTCAAAATCACTTGAGTAATCCAAAAACGCAATCAAAAACATACCTTTCTATTTAAAATAACGAAGTTGATATCCATTTCCGGTGTAACAGAAAGTGCCGCCATCTTGAAAATATTTTCATTGAGCAGAACCTAACCGATTATGATTGTAAACAAAATTTTAAATAAATATCATTGTTAGAACTCCCAATACTTCTAATGTCGGGTTTAGCCGGAACACCCTGTACAGAGTTTATTAATTTAACTAGTGCAGTTGGTAGTGCAAAATGTCGCAATATTTCGAAAACACCCTGTGTATTACAAATTGTATTTTCCAGAATTAAGTAGTTCTAAGAAAAAAAAATAGAGGTATTAATAGGATCAATATATGGCATAACATAAGGGTACCCCCAGAGTTGTCATTTTCAAATATACCATACATGTAGTTCTTAATGACTTAATAAATTAAGAGGGTGATAGGTACAATGCGTTCAATTAAATTCTTGATCAGAGTGGCTCGTGGGATTGAAATTAGGTTGGCAACATTGCTAGTTAGCCAACTCGATCGGTAAAAACAATGGTAAATTTCTTTATCGTAGTGGATCGTCCAATTAAAATTGAATTTTTTGTAGCCTCCAACGTAATTAATTTAGCCCTTGAAAATGGTCAAAAGTTTCTCTAATTACCAAAACAAAACATGATTTAGTTATTCATTCAAATTAAATAGAGGTATAATAAACAAGACAATTTCTATTGTATAATTGAACATCCTCTGACGGCTTCAATTTACTAATTAGGAGAGGACCGAAAGGACCGTTGACCGTTCTTGGAATTCGCGGCGACCAATTACCATGCAGTAAATGCACTTTTCAACTCACATACAAAAAACTGACCGAATTTTTCGCATTTAAAATTATTGAGGAAGTGGCATAACACGTGGAACATGAATTGTGGGACAAACACGTGGATATTCAAATTGTTAGTAATCAGATTCTTTATACCCGAGGTGCGTAGCACCGAGGGAAGCAATATATGCAAAGCTGTAAAATTTTTCTCCCGTGTTTTATATTACATTATTTGCACTATTAGCACATTTATTACCGTGTAATATAGTAAAAAAAATATAAGCCCACTTAATGGTAAATTTAATTCACAACTATTATTTTTTGTCAATTTTTTATTACCCACAGTAATTAATTACTTAAAGGAATTTTGTATCATCAAAATATAAAGTATTTGTTAAAATAGCACAGAAATGTTGAACTTCACACTACTAAGTAGTATTTCAACATGAAATAACCTCATTTGTTATTTTGACAGTTTTGACAGACAATAAAATTGGAGGTGGGGTTATTCTGATTTTTTTAATAAGTTTAAGTCTTTTTTATTTGGTTTTACAAAAATTTAATTTTTAAATGACCCTCCACTTGTAATCCATTATTTCCCTTGGTCAATAATGAAAATTACTATTACCCATATAAAAGAATTTTTTTTAATAGTCATCTGGTGACATTTCGAAAGTGCAGTAGGCTGTGACCAACTTATTAAGACTTCAGTCTTATTTTTATTAAAATACAGGGTGCGCCAGAACTCGCGCCCCAAAGAAAAATAGCATATACGGTAAGCTACCAGGAACATGGAAAAAATTTTAATAAAATTCTATATTTGAAAATTTCGAAGTTATGAGAGTTTAAATTTTGCGCTTTGACTATTTATTTCTGTTGTAAAAATAATTTTCCAATTTTTTTTGCTACAGGCTATTGGCAAAATTTTTAAATAATTGTAAAAAAACATATACAAGATCATCAGGATCATTAAATAGACATAAAAAATGCCAAATGTCAAAATGTTTTGACAGAATTTTTTAAACATTTTTT